CTCTGGGTCGCCCGTCTCAGGGCCTCTTGCTCTTTCGCTTGCCACCAGGTTTGGCGGGGGCCTGGACGGGCGGAGCGGCTGCCCTGCGACCGGCTCCACGGCGCAGCTTTGCTGGAGGCTGCGGGAGCGGGGCGGTGGCAGGGGGCCGCCCTCGGCGACAGCAGCAGCTGCACGCCGGGGCAGGATGTACCTGATGGCCTCAGTCTGCTTTGGGCAGCGGAGAACTGCTGGGCAAAGTTCTCCACCGTGTCGCCGAAAAGGCCGGTCTGGGACACGAAGGCGTTCAAGAATTGTATCTTGTCCGTCTTGCGCATGTCGGCCAGACACAGCCAGAAATGGCACCCCTGGACCCCCATAGTGGACATCGCACAAGGCGGAGGCAGCTTCTCCACAGGCCGTATAAGCATCGCTGGCCAGTCGAGTACCTACTCTATAGCAAGACCCACATCGTCTTTACAAAGAGGTAACGTCAAGTTTGCCACGCAACGTCGTCTTTAAAAAGACGCACCCGTAATTGCTCTTTTAGAGAAAAAGCGCTTTTAGCGTGCTGAGGCACACAGGGGAGATGGCCGCCTGTAACACAAACAGGGGGTAGTGCAGCCTGCTCAAAGAGCGCGCTGAACTCGTTCAGTCTTCTTCTCTCCAGCTAGCTTTATTTATTTTTTATTTTTTTCTCTTTTGTTATTTTTATCATGAATAACAATCCTCGTTTCTGCTACTTTCATGTGTGGACATAAATGAACACAAAGCACAATAGCCTTCAAGTAAATAAAAGTAAAACAAGTGACGAAAGAGTCAGCTGCAATTACCACAAGAATGTTGTCCTCTTGCAATCTTTAAACATGTTGGAAAAACAAAACAAAACAAAGAACATACCATTCCATCTGTTGTCATCCAACCCTTTGTTAAATGAGGAAGCTGTGATTATGAGAACAAAAGTTGTATTCATTGATTGCAATGCAGTGGTTACAAAAACATAGTTCGGATTGTGGCCATGAAACTTGAACATGAACATCACCTTCAACCCAGCCCCGCTAAGACAGAATGCCTGTCAGTCAACCACAACATCACGGGATTCTACAACACTAATGCCAACCAGGAAATCAAGAAACCTGGAAGTAGAGTCTGATAAGCAGTTGAGCTTTATTAGTCACATCTCAGCAATGGCCAGATCATACAGGTTTGTGTTTTTCAACTTTAGACCTTCACCCTCTCTGTTTCTCTGCGGTACAAGAAGCCGCCAACATCTACCCAACCATTATAACTCCCAATAACCTGCTGAAGACATACCAATTACACAAGCACTAACATAAATGACCTTGAACAAAGACACTTTTTAACGATTTATTTATTTATTGCATTAAGTGTTCTTTGGACAAAAAAACAATATATAAGGAAAAAACGCTGAACATACAGAAGGTTATCAATGCAAATGACTTAAAACACTCAAACACAATACACAACGCGACAATATGAGTTATATAAAATAATGATCTAAATCTGCTATCTAACAGTTTCACCACTCTTGTATTTCCTCATTCATTTAATGGGGTGAGAGCATTCCCCGAATGGTTCTGTGGGAGTTGAGTTCCGTTTAAAAGATGCGCAGGGAGGAAGTTTTCACAAATTTTTCAAGGGTGTGAAGGTGAACATATCTACTGGTAAAGACACATTTACAGGTAAATAAAAAGAAGCATCTTTTGTAAAGTTTATGATTTGAACTACAGTTTGTGTGAATTTTATTTAATGTGATTTATTTTATTTGTATTTTGATGTTAATTTAATTCATTAATTGAATCCAATAAATTATTTTATTATTATTAATAAATTATTTAAACTGCTTGTTTCAAATAGAATCCAAAATCTATGACTACCAGTGGCTGTATTGTATTGTAAATTGTATTTTTATATTTTATATATTAATATACAAATGCATGTACAGTTAATTATAATTAATATATAAAGAATAATATATAAAAACTGATTTATCAGCATAACCATGTGAGTGAAATATTGAAGAGAGATTACTACCAAGAAAGAGTGCACAATCCTTAATATTTCATTTTTACATTACAATGTTTCTTTATTTTATTTTATATTATCTATCTATCTATCTATCTATCTATCTTAAGTATAAATTAGATTTCGAATCAGACTCCTCTAGGCTTAAACAAATAACTACTTTTATAATTGTTGAGTGAAAAATACTTGTTTGTAGTATGGCATTTGTTTTTTAATAGACAACATTTAGTTTAATGTTTATCTCAATTGTAATCCAATGTAGTGTATTATTTTTAGAATTAATTCCATAAAGTATATGTGTATTATATCAGATTTTCCATCCTAATTCAGATTAGTTTGATTTAAATGTGTATAATCTTTCCCTCAGACATGGAGAGCAAGCTGATGTTTTTGGTGGTTTGTGTGATTGGTTGTGCAGTGTCTTGCATTAAGGCTGATGGACACCTATCAACGCCAACAAATTTAACCGTAAGAATACCATTTACTACTTTCCACCATTATTTGGTCCAAATAACTGCTATTTCTCTTTCAAAAAATGTTGGACGAAAAGACCTTTTGTTTAGAATCTGTATAAAACTCAGGCCATGTCCACATGTACACGGGTATTTTTATAAACAGAGTTTTTCCTTCTTCCGCTTTTAAAAAAATCTCCTGGCAGGAGTTTTCAAAAATGTTCAGTTTCAGTGACCTGGTGCTGCATTTGCGTGTGGACGAACGGCTTAACCGTGTAGAAAAAGCTGCGGTTTTAAAAATAACCGCGTTCGTGTGGACAGGGCCTCAGTTCCTGGAGAGCCACTCACCTGCAGAGTTTAACTCCAACACACCTGCTAAAAAATTTCTAGCACGCCTAAAGACCTTGATTAGCTGGGTCAGCTGTGTTTAATTAGGGTTGGAGCAAAGCTCTGCAGGTCTGTGGCCTTCCAGGAGCTAAGTTTGATATGCTTTGATACCCTTGTGACGCTAATGTTATTAAAACAGTTTAGGGTGTAAAAATGTATCTGTTATTTTTTTCTGATTTTTCTTATTGATAGTCCAACATCACCCGCAATGAGTGTGGAAAAACCAAACTATGTTTGGACAACCCTAAAGGATGTGACCCTTCAGGCAGCTCTCAGTGTTTCTTCACCTCGGTACAGATTAATTTAACCACCCTCAATCTGAAGGTTGAGCTCAGTGGCAACTCCAGCGGTTACATTGCTTTAGCAGCTGGAGTGACATCTAGTGTGGTTCAGGTATACAAAGCACATTTTACAACACACATTCACACTTGCCTCTGTGGACCATACTTCCTTAAAGCAAATCAAATAACTTGTTTTGACTACAGGTCATAAAATTGAAAGCCACATTGTGGAACTGATTTGACAACTACCAAAGCCAAACATATCCATGTTGAACCAACAGGAACATGGATTAAACTGGAAAGTACTGTCGTTCCAAACAGCCTAGTTTCATTGCAAGACAGAAATGTGAATAAAGGGGTGACTATGTGGCTTGTTTATTCTCATAAATACTATAGCTGCGTCTAAGAATGACAGGCCAATACAAGCTTAAGGCTTGTTCAATACTTGACATCTACTTGTGGTGCAGCTGCTCATGTTAATTTGAACAACTTTGCAGCGTGACTCAACAGAAAACAAGCAACGACACGTAAATGCACTACATAATTTTTTTTAAATGACCTTTGCAATGCAGACATTTAAGAAGCAGCATTCACACATTGCTTGAAACATGATGTTAGGCTTGATGGACATTAAACACAGTGACATACACAGTGTCTGTAAATTAAATCTGACTGCATTCAGAGCAGTTTAAGCAGTTTATATTCAGCTATTTGAGTCTAGATTGAGTAGTCTGTAAACAGTGTGTCATCATAAAAGTTGGGTCTAGAATTAAGCAGCAGTGTGAAGTCTCCTTCTTTTATATTTTTAACAGGGGAGGTTAAAATCCTCATCCAGTAAATTATTATTAAATAAAAATTATTATTATTAACATGAATTATTTTACGTGTTTTACAAAGCATATCAATTGAATTCATTGATTCATATGACAACAATGTTAAACAAGCATACTACAAAAAAAAAAAAAAAAACGAATTGAAAGCAGATCCTTTGAAAATGTATGAATGAGATTGTACAAATTCAAATTCACAACCAATTTCTAGTACTTTTTTTTGTTGTTGTTGATATTTTAGCCATTCACTCTTGCTACATATAATCAGATTCCAATCGGATATGCAGAACAATCTGAACAAGGTTCCATTGCATTTCCATAGTACATTTATCTTAAGGACATATACATTCTGTAATTGTGCTGTGAAGACATGAGGAGCGAGGAAGCTTCCAAAGGAACTAGAAGTATAAATACGCAATTGTATACTATGTGGAAGTGTTTCTTGACAAAAAAAAAAAAAAACTGGCACACGTATAAATTTTCCCCCTTCACATCTATCACAATAATTCTATACTTTACCATTGCAATTTAAATATAAAATATAATTCACTAATTTCAACAGAACATCTTGCTTTATTCGTATTTATTGTGAATATCTTAACTAACCAAACCTCAACAACATAAGGGCAGGTTTCCCCACCCCTTCACACTAAAGGTCTCATGCTAGTGATTAAACTGTTTAGTTCTGTTGTCTAGCTGGAAACCAACCACCTCATCCCGCTTTCACATTACTGAGGCAGTATGCTGACTGCTGTCCACTTAACAGATTACAAGGGTCATTTAGTTTCTTCTCATAATAAAATCCCATCTTTTTTTACAGGGCCTCAATATCATCTTTGTCTGTGGCAATAATAATGGCAGGTTCTTCTTCCGGACTGCAACACTCTTAAATAATACACTGCTGACAACAAATGTAGTAAGGATTATATTTTTTAGCATACTATCTGAGCACTTTTACAGACCTTTTCCATTTTTACAAGAATGTGGAATTATCAAATGTTTTTGATATATGGATTAATATCCTTTTTTCCCCCAGCCCAATGTAAGCAATATCCAGGGTTCAATACAACCAAGCTTGATTCAGTGTGTTTTCAGCATCCCCATTGATGCAAACACTATCAACTTCCTAAACAATGTCAATGTCAAAAATGTCAACATTAGCAACATTGCTAATTCCCAGCTGAATGTTTTCCTTGACATCTTCCAGGGTTCAACCAATGGTGAGTTTGATCACTTTTCAAAACACAAAAAATCTGGTTATTTGATTCTGATCTCTGCCTTGATAAACAAATCACTTCTGTCATTAAAAAAAATAGCTAGGACCAGTTGAGAATCATTTCCATTTCTGACTTTTCATGCTGTGGAAAAGGCGAGCCATGATTTTATTACATCAGGACTGGACTTCTAGGTCTTTTCCTGTCCTCATTTGCAGGCTTGCAGATAGTTTGGAATGCAATTTCCAGGTCACTAATCAAATAAGCAAATTTGTCACATCGAACACCACATCCATGTGAACAAAACATCTTATATAATGTGTGTGTGTGTGTGTGTGTGTGTATATATATATATATATATATATATATAATCACTGAGCAGAGCAAATTTGTCACATCGAACACCACATCCATGTGAACAAAACATCTTATATAATGTGTGTGTGTGTGTGTGTGTGTGTATATATATATATATATATATATATATATAATCACTGAGCTGATAGACAGTTACTTTGCACTTTGTTTTATAGGAACTGTTCTGGGAGAACCAAAAAGTGTATTTGGGTCCTCTGTTCCAGTGAATCTAGCTGATGTCAACTCTACTAATGTTGTAAGCCCCACAGCTAATTCAAAAGCCAGCATCTCACTCAACAGCCTACTGAGTCATGGTAAATACTTTTCTAAGTAATCCAATGATGTGTTAAATCACAGTTGAATAAATAAAAAAAATCTCAATACATACAGTTCAAATAACTCTTTATTTTCCCAACTTACAGCTGCAATTTGCCTACTCAGTATCTTCTTGCATCTGATCTGAGGGGCCTGAGAGAGACCTGAAGACTAATCGTGCTGTGGGTGGAGTAGTATAGATATGCACTAGCATCAGCATGTTTTCACTGGTTTCTTTCTTTATTTGATTCTTAGATTATTCACAAATATATAGGAAACCCATGTATGTTTGACATATACAGGGTGTTGGACACATATAATAAAGCCTAATTAATCTTTTAATGATCCTCTAACATTATACTGACAGTGGAAATGGTCCTGAAAACTTTTTAAAGTTACATTTAAAGCTTATTAACAAACATAATAACATTAAAATACAGTGTTATTTTTTTTCTGGGGTGATATTATCTATTATACACACACTGGATAATATCTTCACAGCTCTTTTTGCATAAACACCATTTTAAGAATCTCTGTCTACCACAAAACAATATATATTGCAGAGCTAATTGAGAGTGGTGTGGTGGTTCTCCTGTGGTTGATTCTAACAATATTAACAAGTAGTAATAAATAAATGATAACCATGTATTCTGGAAGATCTCTTAGACTGAACATTTAAAGGGGTCATCGGATGCTACATGCACTTGTACAAGTTGTTTGAACTGAAATGTGTGTTGGCAGTGTGTGTACACAACCACCATATAATGATAAAATTCCACCCAGTGTTTTATTTTTTAATCTACTAAAATCTTTACCCCTTTCTCAAATCGAGCCGATCTCAGATGCCTGTCTGTGTGACGTCACAAAAACAGGCCCCTAATAATGTGCTAATTAGCAAGTTTCACAATGAATGCGGCTAAAGTGAACAGTCCCTCAGAGAGCGGCTTGGAAGAGAGGGGCGGGGTCAGCAGAACTCATTAACATTTAAAGGAAAATGCTACAAAATGGCTTGCTCTAATAAGAGCTGTTTTTGACAGGGTAAAAAATTTGTTTTTTACACTACCATTGAGAAATTTTAACCAAACTATGTTACAGACTTTTCATTAAGACCCTAAAGAATCATATCAACTTGTGGAAAATGGGCATCCGATGACCCCTTTAAAAACAATAAAATAGATTTAAAATTGCAATTAGATTATGATAAATTTGCAACTATCCTTCCAAGTGTGATAAACTGTTACACTGATAAAGATGCAGTGTCTCATGATTTCTCTGCTGTACATAAAAACCTTTCAGTTGTAGTAACCTCACCTCACTGTATATGAAACAAATCTTTTTTTTCACCTCATCCAGTGAAGACAGGTTTTGAGCGATATCGCTACAATTTGTCTAAATGAGCTTATAGGCCAGAAAACCTACAATCCCTTCTCTAATTGACATGAAGACACAAGAGAGAAATGTGGCGAATGGAAAAGAAAGGTTGGTGATTGATGGCCTGTGAGTTTTGTGTTATTCAAGACCCAGTAACTATGACTGATCCTGCTCTCAGGGCACAGGGGAAATTGAAGCATTGCAGAAAAAAATAATGTATTTATAGTTAGAGATATCATTCTTGGTGTGAACAAGCCTTAAACCACTAGATGGCACAAAAACTCACAGCAGCACTTTTCTAAACATCTATGTTTCAGTATGCACCTTGAAAGTTGGCTAATCCTTGATGTTTTCGCATCGTAGTATGCAGTATCTCATGAGCTATATGCTGTACGTAAAACCTTTCAGTTACAGCACAACCACATCTCATTGTATCTAAAAACGTAGGAATCTTTTTACATCTCATGTAGCAAAGAGAGATATTGAACTGCTTTCCAGTATCACTGCAATTTGTCTAAATGAGCCTATTAGCCACAAAGCCTAAAACCCCCTCTCTAATTGACATATAGATGGGAAAGAGAGACAAAGGGTGATGAATGGAAAAGAAGAATCATGACTGATGGCCAGTGAATTTCAGGTTATTCAAAGAGCCAGTAATCATGACTGATCCCGCTCTCAAGGCACAGGGGAAATTGGAGCATTCCAGAAAAAATAACATATTGTTGAGACATTTTTAGCAGTGGAAGATAAACTCTGAGGGACTCTCAACAGCTTATTGGCCAATTCAAAAAATTACTCTACAGTCCGTTTATTTCCTTTCATATTGTGACGTAGCATTAAGAGCCTCGGGTGGTTTAATAACCAGTTCCTCTCTTGATTGCAAACGGACGACACATTGATCTCTGTCAAAGTTGAGCCAGAGGACAAAAAAAGAGCAGCAGGGACGATTCTGGGGACTCATGGGTTGCTGTGGCAGCTCTTTTGACATTTGTTAGGATTAAAAGGACTACACATACAGTTTTAGACTGAACCAACAAGCATATCAATGAAAATGTCTAATTAGAAAAGAGTTTGTTTCAGTGTATGTTTGATCATTCATCCATTCATAACCATTTGAAAGCAATACAAAGTTTACACTCTGCATTGACCATAATACCCTGCTGCTCCCATTCTTCATTTGTTTTTGTTTTTTGTTTTTTCATTTTGTTGTTGTTTGGTTTACCTGGCAACCAGCTCTTCTTTGTCAAAGACAATGATAGAGCCATTCATCTGCGAGCTCACTTAGCCATCATTTTGCCATGACCGTTCTAGTAAGATGTAATTTCACCACTTGTAATTTACAATGTGGACAATTAGCTTGAGCGACTGTCATTTGCAATGGAGTAGGAAGTCATTATGGAGTGAAGGAGATGCTTTTATTGGGTTCAGAGGGCATTCAGAGACAGATGAGAGCAAAGATATGAGCGCTGGCCTCTTTGATAAAGTGTGCCATTAAATTTGTGCTTGTGTGGAGACAAACAGCTTCTAGCTGCCCTGTAGTTGGACCTGTGAATCTGCTACTGTGGTTACACTATCAATTGTTGCGTACAGGAAGGTTGTGTGTTTACCTAAAACTTCAAAAGGTTTCTTCAGAACACAAAGAAACTGTAAATAATGCTCATAATCTATTTACAATATTATATGTATTACTGAGATATAAATGAATGTACATACATGTAAACAAACATCCTGCACAGACATATCTAGACTTAAGAGGGATATATATATATATATATATATATTCAACATATGGACCCTTTTCACAGACTGTGATGACGAGTTTACAAAGTTATTAGCATCGTAAATAAGTAGTTTTTTATATTTATAAATAGTTTTAATATTTTCATAAAAAAATAATAATATACATTTATGACATTATGTATGTGTTATATTACTTAACTAGTTAACGCTGCTATGTGAGTGTTTCTAATACAACAGATAAGGGAGTGACAGCAAAGTTGACATTTTTCTGTCTTCCAAGAAATGTAATCAGTCACTCTATATTTTCCCCCCTCTTTTGTATGGTCATGAAATGCTATCTTATTTTATTTTTGTTTATAAGTGAATTAAGCATTCAAAAACCATAAAAATACATGTTAACAAATATGGTAACACTTTAGTTTAAAGACCAGCATGCATATTACAATCATTTTGGCTGTTTATTAGTACTTATACAACACCTATTATTGTCTTATTGTGCATGACCATATGACCATATTTTAGATCCCATAATCCAACCCCATACCTAAATTTAACAAATACCACAAATACATTTGCAGAGTCTCATTAACAGACATGCATACACAAACAATTTGGATAGATTCTGAGAGCATGACATCTTAAGAACAGGGAATAAATAATTTATAATGGCTTAAATTACTCTTAATGACACAAACACACATTTCCCTTTATAGAATATTCATGCAAAATAAATTTAAAAAATTTAAACTTTTATTTTACAAAAATTAAAACTTTTCATAAATGATTTTACATATTCTCTCCAGTGCTGCACAAATAGATAGGTAGACATCAGGGTAGATCAAGAAGATGTTGCATCAGGCAGTGAAAGGACTCTCTGAACATTCTTCTTGTGTGTTCTATTGGGTATAAATTGGTGTTCTGCTCCTTTTTTATTTAAACTATTGGACACACAAATCACTTTTTTCAGATGGTGGATCAGCACCTACAGACGACCTCTACAGCCCTGAATGTCAGCGGAGACCATGTCAACTAGATGAGTTCCAGAGACAGATCCCTTTCGAAGACCTCGTCACCTCGACGACCATCGGCACAAGACCACGGGAACCAGACGAGTCCTCTACACCAGTGTTGCAGGCTGGAATTAAACCACACCATGCTGGTTCCCTTTCAAGGGAACTTCGAACTGCGTCCTCTAGGGGTCGCTATGGCGTTTTGAGCATTATCTTTCTTACGCATTTCATCGATTCCAGCATCCGAGTTATGCCAACATCGAGGCGGAAACGACTATGAGAGGATGCCCCTGTAAAAAAGACGACTGG